GTTAAATTTTAGCGATTATTAACTAACTGGTCTAACTAAATTAAATTAAGGAGCTAGATTTGTCGATGTAAATTTTTTTCTTTAAACCTCTTAACTATTTGCATAAGATTCATGTTAGATGCAAAGAATTTAGAAGTTATATATGTTTATAAATGTTTAAAAACTTAAAATCAGCACAGCAGTCCTAAGAGGGCACTGTAAAATAATATACGAGACTGGGTAGACATACGGATGCAAACTGTAGATTCGGTGAAGAGAATGAGGAGTCGGCGACACATATTCTGTTGGAATGCCCTGCGCTAATGCACATACGGAATAGACTCCTGGGAATTTTTATTCTTACGGAAGAGGCAATAAAACTCTGTAAAATAGGTTCTATATTACTTTTTATTAATGCAACAGGGTTTACACCCCTACTCTAAATCCAGAAATGGACAGAATAGACTCGACGGTCGCAGTGCCACATCCTCTAACAATAATAATATAAAAGTTTAATATGTTGAACTTATACCTATTTCACACCTGTGGTTTTAATGGTACTGAAAAATAATAGGCATAATTCTAATGTCACAGTTCAAAGATTTGAGTTCAATATAACTTAAGTAATGTAACTTAAGCTGGTATTATGTGATATATTATTTGGTTGAAAGAATTCTTATTCAGCTGAAAGACACATATACAATCCAAACATAAAAAAAAATAAATCATTTAGTCCATTAAATTAACACATGTATCTTAAATCTTATAGCTACTTCTACATTTTATCTAGCCTTAGTAGTGTAACATACGTTCAGACTGTTCACGTACGAGAGACGAAAGCTTTTGCTTCACGGGATGAATACGATTCATAAGACAGTTTTGAAAATAATATAAAGATGCATGCTTTGAATCTTCAATCATTGAACTAAGCTTTTTTCTTGTGATTTATTCATTTTACAACATTCCGAGACATTTGTATTTTTATTTATTTTTATTTATTATTTGTATTTTTATATTTATATTATTTTTAAAATCATTATCCTATTATATATTTCGTTGATCGTTAAACAATTTTGGTACTCTACTTATTTAAACTAGTACTGTGTTTGGTTGAAAGCTTATATTTTTTCAAGACAGTTAAGGGTTACGCTTATTCTGTCCCTTAACTTTAACAGATAAAACTCGTGTACATGAGTTAACCAATTGTCTACTCAGTAACTATATTTTTATACAGATCAATAAACGATGATCAAACATTTACCAAATAACGTGATTAAGATCAATTGAACCAATATAATTCTAAATTAAAGTTACAATTTAGTATACAGAAGTGAGATAGAGAATAGAAATAAGTTTTAAAAATATTAACAGATCAAAGTCTAATATAAAATGTAAGGTTAGGATCAGATGCACTAAGGGTAAGTTTATCATGTACTTTCTGTCAATGATGCATAGAACCACTATATTATTGGACAATTGAATATTTTCTAGGTTTATGTTTCTATTCACACATTACAGCATAAAAAAAGTATACGTTCATCAATGTGATCGGCTGACTGTAAGCAATGTGATCAAAACCGCGCGCTTGGGGCAGAATGTGTTAGATCATCCGCAGGAAAAATATACGACCGTTCAGTTTTAAATATTTTATTTGAGAGAATATATAAAGAAAGTAAAAAAAAATAACAATAGCATATAAATGTACAGAGCTGCATTCTTTATTACACTATCTGATATGTGCAAGTTGTACTTTTTGGTATGTTTCATATCAGCAGAATCCGGAGTCCAAAATATTTTTTTAATAGAATATTTATTTGTAAAGTGATACCGATAATTACTTAAGACTTTTTTACTAATGATTTTTACGTAATTTGTTGTTAATGATGATACTGATATATATTTCATAATTTTCTGAAAAGAATTTCAAAAACAATTCATGCCAACTTCAACTTTAATCCAAAATATATAACACATGTCAAGACGGAATGGAGGGAAATAAATAAAAGATATATACAAAGGTATTGCAAGTTTACTATGTCAAACATAAATACATACACATAATAATGTATATATACCCAATAGTCCTTTGCTGGTCGTACTGACTAGACTAAATTTCTATTTTTAATAGCCTGTATACATTTTTTATATTATCATTTGTATGTGATTTTTAGAAAGAAACACATTGTGTTGGATGATCAACTGCTGCGATAAAACAAGAAAAAAGGGAAATAAAATTTGGCAATAAACAGAGGATAAATGTTAGTATTCCTATTTTTTTGCGAGAAATCTAAGACAAAGTAAAATTAGGGAGCATTTAACTAAACCTACTGTTGACCATAAACTTTTGCAAAAGCCAAATTTGCTCATAAAATACAAAAAAGTCCCCAAATGGGCGTACATAGCATGAAGAATGTCCATCTATTTTTGAATGAAGTAAGGCAAAAGAATACCAACTATATGATGCCATGTTCATTTTACTGCATTTTTTCATTCATTCCTTCTGTTTTTTTTGGTAATATTTTTATTAGCATTTGGCTCAATTCCTTTCCTCATAAAAGCCTAATTAATTAAAATCATTCTCTGTTATTTTACTACCGCTCAGGAAACATACCCAACACACCAGGGTGCAATTGACGAGTTCAGAAAATTTCTTTCTTACTCCTTTGGCAGGCGCAAATAAGGTTGAATATACAACATACAACATACAACATACAACATGTACAACATAAGGTTGAAGTGATATGAAAGACAGAAAAAAGACTAATTAAAACCTTTGGAAAAGTTTTATTGAAGTCTGCCACAGAAATTTTCTATGAATAAAAATACCATACCACATATGGGTATAGATATATGTGTGTGTATTTGCGATGTGGCATAACGACATGACGAAAAATCACAACAAGGAACAAAAATAAGGAATGAAAAAAATTAAAAAAAATATCCTTTTAAAAAAAACATGGAAAATTAATCGTGCTTCAAAGCGCGCGTAAGGATGTGGAATATGAACCAAGTTAAGTTCCATATTATGCGAATCCTTTGGGAATTTAAATTTTGTATCCGAAAATATGCGAATACTGTAATACTAATATTTATTTATGAAGTCATGCATATATTGACATGTATCTGTGTACATATTTGCTTTTATGTTATTGCAAAAATGTGTTCGCAATATATCCACTCCGGTTTTAATAAAAGTGGACGCACAAAAATTGTTGATAATTGCCTTTGGTCTTTGAACATGTAAAGCTGAAAAACATTCCAATATCGTACAAAAACAAATATATTTTACTTCTATTCGAGTTTTTAGTAACGCAAATGAAACATTTTAATTTACAACATCATTTTGAAATGAAAACCATATGAAGGGATATAGAGCTTTATTTAAATAGTCAGAATAGTCGGAAAATGTTGCAATGATTACAGTATTTCATTTTGCGGAAAGAGTACTTGATAAGAAATTAGTATTCCAATTCCAATAATTATAATATAAGCTGAAGACAACCAAAACTATGTATTTTTAATTAATACCACATTATTCTTATTGTAAAAATGTTATAATTATGAGATTATTATTAAATGGATAGGCTATCATGTACTGCGACCTGCAAGATCTTTTCATAAATCTTTGAACAGAAAATTTCAATCTTTTCTAAATAAAATTTTATACAAAGCCTGTACAAAATACCAGAACCGGAAATATCCCAATTTTTCATAGTCGGTATTACTAATTTAATATTGAAAATGTTTATTCTTTTTATTAAAGTTTTGTAATATTTGCTTTAAGCTCATACAATTTTATATTGCAGTAAAAATGCAATAAGCCTAATCATTAAACAAACTATATCATAGATCTTTGTTTAGCAATATACGCTTAGGCGCTGCACTCGTTAAAATATTTATTAACGAGTGAAGCGACAAACAAAGTCTAACAGAACTATTATATGTAATTATGGCGTGTGCATCAAAAAAGTGAAGCTTGTGTTTCAAGTAATTATTCTAGAAAGTTATAAACCGACATCATCTTAAGCTAAAGTTCATGCAATAGAACTTTAATCGAAGAATGTGTAAAAAGACGATATAAAACTGTCAGCGCTGCTAAACTTGCATATTCGATATTCGACTACTTAGCCAAATAAAAAATTTACCAAAAAGAAAAAAGGTGTACTATTTATATCTCTTACTTTTTCTCGGGCGAAGGACCTACTCTAGTCCCTTATTCATAATAAACTTTAAAATTAATTTTAATGTTAACTCACATATAAAGAAAAAAATATTTCTCTTAATATTTCAAAGTGTTTTTTGAAATAATTTTGAGAACATTTTCTTATTCAGGTTACTATCTCAGTCTTACGTCTGTTTAAGATAGAACGGACATGAGTGTGAAAGCTTGAAGTTATGTTTGGTTTCTAATATATTTTATTATAATGTTTTTTTTTAAAGTCATAACAGGTTTGTTAATGATAAATAATGATAAATAAGACTATTAAAATGTAATTAACTGTTGTTAATTTTATTATCCAATAAACAGTTTAATGAAACTAATCATAAAATGACTAAACCATTTGATAATATTTTGTTCTATAAAATATTAGATTAAATTAAAAGAAATTAATGTAAACATTCGGCAAAAATGAAAACAATCTAACAAATTTTATTATTTAATTAAGAAACTATAGACAATACTTTAGAACTAAAATGGATTCTCTTTCAAAACAGAGAACAGCAGATCGGCGATAAGCTCATTCAATAATTATTTCAGTAAGTTTTTGCAACTGAGAAGATCTCTCATTTAGTTATGGATCCGTCACTGCTCACAGATAATAGTTTGTTTTATTCAATTAATAACAAATGTTGAGAACTTTGTGCGAAGTCATTGTTATTCGTGTTTGCTGTATTTGAAAAACATTTGGTAATTCATGATGAAATTATATGTTTGTTGTTAAAAGTATATGAGACTTCAAATTCGTATGCAATCTAAAATATTCTATTTATATGTTGATTTTTAAAGCTGTTCAGTTCTAATTTGTTGTGTGGCGAGTGAACATAATGAAATTCGGTTTAATATTTTTGATTGTGTTAGGTAGCTTACTTACTAGAGAGACAGAAAGTGCGAAGATACTTTCCGTATTTGCATTTCCTGGTCCCTCTCAGTATATATTTGCTTCAGCTATATTAAAAAATTTAGCCGAACGAGGACATGAGGTAACATCTATTTCGATGTTTCCACAACAGAAACCTGTTAAAAATTTTCGTGATATTTACATACCCGAGAATGCAAATTTAGTGGCTGGTATATATTTAGATCTGATATTATTAGTTTAGTGATTTTCAGAAATTTTTGTTTCCAGATTTGTTGACAGATGTCGATGAAATGCAACAATTAAGTGAATTGGAGAATATGATGGCAATGTATGATATCGGCTTGAGTATGTGTCCGAATGTTTTTCGTAATAAGGAAATACAGAAATTGTTGAAATCATCGGAGGAGAAGTTCGATTTGATTATAATGGAATTATTTTTGGCAGAGTCACTTTATGGTTTGGCGCAACATTTTAATGCACCTATTGTGGGACTCTCAACTTTTGGCACAACAAGCTTTATTGATAGAGTTGTTGGAAATACTTCACCGCCTTCTTTTTTGCCTTCAGTATTTACTCCATTTGACACTAAAATGACATACCGAGAACGTTTGTCAAATTTTATACATATTGGAATAGATAATTTGTATTATAATTTTTTCTATCTACCAAAACAAGAAGAGATATATAAGCAATTCTTTCCTAACGCCAAAATAAGTTTACAGGAAATACAAAAGAAATTTTCATTAGTATTGCTTAATCAACATTTTTCCCTTAGTTATCCACGCCCATATGTTACTAATATGATAGAAGTCGGCGGTGTGCATATTAAACAAATACCAGATCCATTACCACAGGAATTGCAAGCATTTCTTGATAATGCTACTGAAGGTGCCATTTACTTTTCAATGGGTTCGAATTTGAAAAGTAAAGATCTGCCACCAGAAAAACTACAAATATTTCTAAATGTTTTTCGTTCTTTAAAACAAAAAGTACTTT